GTCTAGTGGTCAGGGCAAGCGGAAAACGTGTGGTTCGATTCCCACCGGCGCAGCAACATCTTTCTTCGCTTTTTTAAAACTATTTTAAGTATTATTGAGAATTTATGACGGGGAAGTCGCCAGGTCGTGGATTCTGGTTCTAGCATATAGTGGTTTTATTTTTTCACAAAACACTTATTTAATTTTAGGTTTCTTCAACCTAGAGAGTTGTTTTAAGCTTGACTTCAGATATGCAAAGTAAAGAAAAAATATAATCTAACTCAAGCTACAATCAAAAATTGGTAAATGTAATACAAACGAACAAATCCAGTTTTTTAGGGGAAAAAATATAAAATCAGTCACAGTACAAGAAAAAAAGCGACCCATGAATCGTTTGAACCGTCGAACCTTGGGATGTTATTTACTAGCGGTAGCTCAACGTTCTTCTTATATTGTATAAAATGTTTTTTTTTCGTGAAAATTTGGATGCCTAGGATAAAAAAAATTGGTTTAGAGGTTTTCTTCATCTCTAAAGTACATACAAATCCAGTTTCTCGAGTAAATTATAAAATTTGATTTTGCGAATTTAATACTTTTATGATGACCCTAAAAGTTAAAACAAGAACAGGTGTGGACTGTTAAAATATAGGTGAAAAAGTGTGCTAAGTCAGTTCTCCATTATCACATTTTTTGACCATGAACTTTTTAAAAGGGACCAGAAAAATGACAAAAAGTTCACAGAATGGCAACAAAAAAATAAAAAAGACCAAAAAAAACAGGAAAACCATTGCAAAAAAAAAACAAAAAACCGACGAAAACGAACACAAACATGCAACTAATAAAAAAGAATAAAAAAGTCCACAGAATATCGGACAAATAAAAGAGGATAAAAAGTCCATAGAAACGGACAAAAAGAGATTAATCAATTTTTTGGAGAGGATCAAAAGATAGTGTTACGTTATACGGGTATTCAAAAACGGCGTGGGTAAAACTCAACAATTTATTTTTTTTATGTTCTTATGTACAAAATAATTCCGACACAACTTGACTGGCTTCTCTCAACATTCGCTGGACTCGACTCCCCCGCTCTCAACGGTGGTTTCCATTTAAACAGCCACGCGATCCTTCTCGAAACGCCTCCGTCGCAGCTTATAGACTTGTTTGGAGCAGACATTCGCGACTTCCGCTTCCAGGCTCTTTTCCGGCCGCCGTCACCGACAATGAGTCATCATCACCGTACATACTAGAACCCATAGGCGTCGTGCCGGGGCGGCGTATGGGTTTCTTTCGTAACAATACACTTTGATTACAAATTATGGAATAATAAATCACAGGTATAAACTCATCATATTTTGCACATTTTAGATATGATTTATTTGATAAAATTTTGGTTCGATTTACATGTTTCCGGTAACCTTAAAACGTTTGCAAGGTTTCAAAGCATTCTGTTGTGCAATTTCAAAGTTAAATTGTAAAATGTTAGAATTGTTTTTTACAAAAATCTGGATGTCTAGGATATAAACACAACACGGATTCATAAACTGCAAGTAGAGGAGTATGTATGTTATTTTATAAAATTTAAATAATATTTACTGTTGTAAAAGTTGGAGATGATGTCATATCATGTACAATTTTGAAGTGACATCGTCACATTATTGGTGGGGAATGGGGATGATTAGACAAGTTTTTTGACAACGATTGCAGACAGACAGACGGAAAATAGAGACCTATGTTTTCGTACACTGGGGGTTATGAAACATCGAGAAAACACTAAAGTAGCGATTACAATATTTCCTTAGCTTAAGGGATTCAGAAAAGGTGAGACAATAAAGAAAACGGAAAAAACGACACAAAAAAGCTCCAAACACAGGACAGAAAAAAATACAAGAAATATATAAGAAGAAACAAAAAATGGACAAAAAGGGATCACAAAAAATTCTACAATAAAGGGACAAAAACGGAAGAAAAAAAGAGTAAAAGAGACGACTACAAGAAAAAAACAACAAAAAATCCACAATAATGCAACACAGAAAGTAACAAGAAAACCACAAAAATATCTCAAGAAAGATAACGAAATAAAACGAGAATAGAAGTATGTATGTTATTTTAGAAAATTTTAAATTTTAAGGTGACGTCATAAAATTTTTGGTGATGGTGATGATCAGACAAATGTAGTTTCTGAGATTAAATCTCTAATAAAGATAGAACACAGCTTGACAGATACACAAACAAGAAACAGACGGAAATGAGACACCTATTGCATACTCTAGGTCATGAAAGGTCGAGAAAAAATTAAAGTAGCCATTCGCCCGATTGACTTTATTACAATATAAAAAATCAGGCGGATTCATAAAGCACAAATACAAGAATAGGGGTATTGAAACGTCGAGAAAACATAAAATTAGCGATTACAATACTTCCTTGGCTTACGTTCGGGAAGTAAAAAACAACAACAAAAGGATCACAAAAATCCGACTAAAAGAAGGAATTTACAAACGGTAGCAATAAAGAGAACGAAAAAACTCCATAAAAAAGCTACAAACACAGGACAGAAAAAATCAACATAAAAAAGGGAGTACAAAAACTGACAAGAAATACTGAAAAATGATTAAAGCACAACAAGAAAATCTACAAAAGTGAAAAAAGTGACAAGAAATATGTAACAAAAAAACGGCACCAAAAAATGACAAAAAAGGGATCACAAAAAATGCTACAACAAAAGGCAAAAACAGAGGAGAACAGAATCAAAAAGCGACGACAAGAAAGAATAATGCAACAAGAAAAGTAAGAAAAAAACACAAAAAAATGGAAATGTTTCAAGAAAGAAAATAAAATGAGATAGAAAATTTAAACATTATTTACCATTCAAAATTTTGAGTTGACGTCATCAAATTTTTGGTGGTGATGATCAAACAAATGTCGGCTGGGCACACGATCCTAAAATATATGTAACAACAACAATCAGCCTTGTAGTTTCAGAAATGAACTCTCTAATAAATATTGACACCGCCTGACAGACAAACGGAAACGAGAAACTTATTTTTCATTCTCTAGGTCATGAAACGTCGAGAAAAAATAAAAGTAGTCGTTCGCCCGATTGACTCTATTACAATAAAAACATCAAGCGGATTCATAAAGCACAAATAGAGGAATAGGGGTCTTGAAACGTCGAGAAAACATAAAAGTACCGATTACAACACTTCCTTAGCTACACTCGGGAACTAAAAAGCAACAAAAGAAAGATCACAAAAAATGCGTCGAAAAGGAGGAATTTACAAACGGTAGCAAAAAGAGAACGAAAAAACCCCATAAAAAAGCTACAAACACAAGACAAAAAAAATCAACATAAAAAAGGGAGTACAAAAACTGACAAAAAATACTAAAAAAATGATAAAAGCACAACAAGAAAATCCACAAAAGTGAAAAAAGTGACAAGAAATATATAACAAAAAAAACGGCATCAAAAAATGACAAAAATGAGATCACAAAAAATGCTACAATAAAAGGCAAAAACAGAGGAGAAAAGAATCAAAAAGGCGCGATTACAAGAAAGAATAATGCAACAAGAAAAGTAAGAAAAAAACACAAAAAATTGGAAATGTTTCAAGAAAGAAAATAAAATGAGATAGAAAATTTAAACATTATTTACCATTCAAAATTTTGAGTTGACGTCATCAAATTTTTGGTGGTGATGATCAAACAAATATTGGCCGGGTACACGATCCTAAAATATATGTAACAACAATCAGCCTTGTAGTTTCAGAAATGAACTCTCTGATAAATATTGACACCGCCTGACAGACAAACGGAAACGAGAAGAAACTTATTTTTCATCCTCTAGGTCATGAAACTTCGAGAAAAAATAAAAGTAGTCGTTCGCCCGATTGACTCTATTACAATAAAAAAATCAAGCGGATTCATAAAGCACAAATACAGGAATAGGGGTTTTGAAACGTCGAGAAAACATAAAAGTAGCGATTACAACACTTCCTTAGCTACACTCGGGAACTAAAAAGCAACAAAAGAAAGATAACAAAAAATGTGACTAAAAGGAGGAATTTAGAAACAGTAGCAATAAAGAGAACAAAAAAACGCCATAGAAAAGCTACATACACAAGACAGAAAAATCAACATTAAAAAGGGAGTACAAAAACTGACAAAAAATACTAAAAAAAATGATAAAAGCACAACAAGAAAATCTACAAAAGTGAAAAAAGTGACAAGATATATATATATAACAAAAAACCGGCAGCAAAAAATGACAAAAAAGGGATCACAAAAAATGCTATAATAAAAGGCAAAAACAGAGGAGAAAAGAATCAAAAATACGACAAGAAAGAACAAGAAAAGTAAACAAAAATCCACAATAATGCAGTAGGAAAATGACAAAAAGAAAACAAAAATTTGGAAATGTCTCAAGAAAGAAAATAAAACGAGAATAGAAGTAAGTATGTACGTTATTTTAGAAAATTTAAACACCATTTACCAATCAAAATGTTGATGATGTCATCAGATTTTTGGTCGTGATGATCAAACAAATGTCGGCTGGGTACACATACCTAAAATATATGTAACAACAATCAACCTCGTAGTTTCAGAAATGAAGTCTCTAATAAATATTGACACGAACGAGAAACTTATTTTTTATTCTCTAGGTCATGAACCGTCGAGGAAAAATAAAAGTAAGAAGCGGATTCACAAAGCACAAATACAAGAATATGTTGTTTTATAAAACTGAAATAACATTTACCATGCAAAATTTTTATATGCCGGCATTAAAATATTAGAGGTGATGGTCAGACAAATGTTGAATTTTCATTCTGAATTATTTCCTTTGCGTCTTACTTGCAGTGAAACGTATCAACAATATCCATGCATAAATTCTATACAAACATTCCAGGCTTTTATTAAATTCCACTTGAAAGTCCCAGCCGGTCAAGGTTAGGACCTTAATTCATTAATTTACAAACTTCCGCTCGATTCCGCAAAAAACCGCCGATATATAGGAAGAAAAGCCGATTCATGGTCAAAACACACAAATCCGCGCTCTCGGGAGGGAGGTTGCTCCATACGCGATTGACTCAGTTGTTGACCTAGGTTTAAAGGTTTATATATTTTTTAATACCAGTTGCTTCGGCACTCGCCGAAGAACATGTAGTGTGAAGTGTTGGGTACTGTGACAGTGCTAACAATGTCAGCGACACTCACCCGAATCGTCGACACTTTAGTCGATTCATCAGGATCCTCAGGTTGACAATGAATTTTTTTAATAAATTTGGTACCAATTTTTTTGCTAGATCCCCGGATGAATCGATTTCTGATGAAGTCACCCTTGCAAGTCATCAGCATCGTAGCCCTCTACCTCACCCTAATCTTCAAAATCGGCCCCATTTTCATGAAAAACAGAAAACCGTTTTCTTTGAGAACGACGATAATCGCTTATAACGTGATACAGATTGTTTTAAATGCAGCGATTTTTCTGAAAGTGAGTACTGCGTTTTGGGAGTATCAAGAGGGACAGTTTTTTTTCAGATTTTTCCGCTGAGGAGCAATTTGAGTCTTCTTTGTACACCACCTGATACGTCAAACAGTGATACAAACTTGTTAGAAATAGAAGGGCATTATTATTATATTTTACTAAAGTATTTTGATCTAGTCGAAACTGTAAGTACCACTTGGAGCTAGTACTACAAAAATTGATTTTTTTTTATTTTAGTTGTTTTATGTTCTTCGTAAAAAAGACCGCCAGATTTCATTTTTGCACGTTTATCACCACATAGGAATTCTGGCGGCGGCATGGATTTCCGGCAAGTACTTCCCAGGGGGTCAAGCTATGTACGTAGCTATGTACAACACGGTGATACATGGAATTATGTATTGCTACTATTTAATGTCGTCTTGGGGCGGTGGCACCGGAGGATTTTTGTGGTGGAAGAAATATGTGACGGCTTTGCAAATAGTAAGTACTTAGTTTATTTGGTCAAAATTTTTTCACTCGGGTGACGTCTCATCAAAAAATATTCTCGACTTATTACGCAACCAATTACAATAAAACAAAAATTTTACAGAAGTAAAAGACAAAGGTATAATTAGCTTGTTTACTCAATTATTGGAAAAAGTGATGATACTTTTGACCTCGGAAAGGAGAAAACAATCAAACACGTGTAAAGTGATGCAACAAAATACCACGAACGGGGAAAATGCGAATTTTTCAAAATCAGGTGGAATTTGTGTACAAATTCCGACGACAATACAAAATGTAAATTTGAATTAAAAACTGTATCTATGAATAATAATAAACACATAACCGTGAATAAATTAGATAAATCAGTGAAAATTGTTATTGACATTTAACGTGAAAATCAAAATTATGAAATCTCGTACTAGATTGACGATCACACACTGGATGTACTTGAGCAAGAGTTTCATAAAGTTGCAAAACAACAAGCATTTCGGCCAAATGACTGCTAGTGCTGGAAAAATTTCCATTACATTGTTCCGTTGAAAATGAAAGTAACCGCTGACCGGATTCATTGGGTTAATTAAAAAGCAAAATCGGCTAATTATGGAATATTAACTTTTGTCCAAAATAATAGCTGATCATCTGAGGGACAAAGCAATGACCTAAATACCCTCATGAAAAACACTAATGCCTCCGAGCACACGTTATTACTTATTTATTAGTGTTGCATTAGTGCGTAATGCACACTGATCGTGAGTTATTGCCTTGTTTTGAACTTCGCAATACATAGGAAATTTTTACTTTTGTAAATGATCGGAAACGATTTGTCTTATTCAGGTATTTTACTAATGGGAACCAGTTTTATCCGAAATTATATTTATATTATAATATTATAATTCGCGACTTAAAAATTAGTAAAAAATATTGAATCAACATTAGCATGTTAATTTATACAGAAATGTTTATCTCATTATCACACGAGTGTTGTAAACAATGACCTTGCGCAAGTCGGCCGACTGAGCGCAAGGAAACTCTTGTTGCACGTCGTCGACTTCTTTAATTTAATTATTATTATTGTAATTTTTAAATCAACGATATCCGGGAATTGGCTGTCATTACAGTGTAAGAAATCTGATTGTACTAAATCGGGAGATCTGGCTGGCCACTTTATGAGTGTGGTTTCTCAGTCCATGACAAAAAATTGACTACATTTTTTTGGACAATGAATACAAAAATTTATAGAATTTTGAAAAAATTGAGTATAAAAAAATAAGCTTCCCATTTGCGCCGGTCTGAATGTAGGAATAGTGCCGAGATGGTAAAATTTTTTCTAGTCATCTCACCAATAGTTTGATGACGTCACCTCAAGATTGTGCTTGGTAAATGCGATTTCAATTTTGTAAAATAACGTGTTCCTGTACTTGTGGTTTATGAATTTGCCTTAGTTCAATTTTTTTTTTACACTGTGACTGGTATTATCATCTGCATTTTTTCAGTTGTGTGGGTTATAGGTAATTAAATAAAATTTCACAAAATCACATTTACATTTCTTTGTATTAGGGAAATTTAGTTTTTCTTTAATTAGAAAATGCTTAGAAATAGCTTCTTACATTCCAAAAATTAGACAAGTTATCAAGTCGCTTGTCTCCGCTTCCTGTTCTGAGTTTCAGTAGCGCTTCTAGTTTATGGTTTCTTAGAATAATGCGTTCGTATCAATGCAAAATCGAGTCCTCGATAGCAGACAGTCGTTAAAAATCCACTGTTTTCTTTAATATTTTCCAGAAAATTTGGGAATGCAATACCGTTATTGTTAGTTTTACATCCACCTACCCAAACCGATATACATAGTGTTCTTGATGACGTCATCACAAAATTTTGTCATGGAAAAATTCACTTAAAACCTACTCTGCTACACATATCTTTATTTTATCTTATAGGGGTTATAAAAAAAATTAAATTAGCAAAAGCAAATTTTACAAATTTCAAAAGATGGATAAAGTTCAGAGGCGACAGAATTTTTGTCTAAATAATCTTGAACCATTTTTTTTTTATATACAGGATGAGTTACTAAACACGCGGTCCCCAATTTGTCACTAGCTATTAGAGATAAAAAAAAAGTTAAAGATCAAAGTTATCATCCTTTGAGTAGCATAAACTAAAATTATTTTCAACTATACAAAGGGTTTTGTTTACTTTTTTAAATGGGACATACTATATATTCTGGCATACTCTCATTGGACTCGTAGGCTTTATGGTTATGGTTGTCTTTCGATGTGTCGGAACATCTCCTAAAAAAGCGAAAAATTGCAAAAACTATTAATTTTTGATAAGTACAAAAGAAAGAAAATGAAAAACGGATATATTATATGTTTGAGAATTGTAATATTTTTTAATTTTTCATAAGCATTCGGTATATTAAGCCTCAGTTTAATTTAGACTTATTTTGCTTATCTCTTCATAAAATATTGTAACAGAGATTTTAAAAATAACTTTATTGCGATTTTTTTGTAAATTTTCAAAAATTTCCAGAAAATTGGAATAAATGCATCGGAATTTCAAAAATAAACTATGGTTTCAAAGCCCAAGAAAAAGCCAATGAGAAAAGATTAAAATATATAGGGGTTCATGAAAACAAAACACTCTGCATAGTTGAAAATAACTTTACTGTATGATACTCAAACATAATTACTGACATATAGAAAAACACGTAGTTAGTGATTCACTCTGTATATTAAATATTAATAAAAATTATCTGATTCTTTGAGTACCATAAACTAAAATTATTTTCAAGTATACAAAGTATTTTGTTTATGAGACGTAACATACAACTTACTTTTTTAAATGGGACACACTATATATTTTAACATACTCTGATTGGCCTCGTCGCAGGCTTTATAACTATGGTTTATTTTATTATGGCATCTCGTTCTATATTTTGTACTCTTTCTTTCGATATGTTGGAACATCTCTTAAAAAAGTGAAAAATTGCAAAAACTATTAATTTTTGATAAGTACAAAAAAAAGAAAATGAAAAACGGGTATATTAAGACTCAGTTTAATTTATATTTATCTTGCTTATCTCTCCGCAAAATATTTTTAACAAAGATTTTAAAAATAACCCTATTGCGATTTTTTTGTGAATTCTCAAAAATTTCCAGAAAATTGAAATAAATGCATCCGAATTTCAAAAATAAACTAAGGTTTCAAAGCCCAACAAAAAGCCAATGAGAAAATATTAAAATATGTAGGGGTTCTATTTAAAAAAAAACAAAGAGGCGTATTATGCATAAAAACAAAACACTCTGCATACTTGAAAATAACTTTAATGTATGATACTCAAACATAATTACTGACATATCGAGGAACGCGTAGTTAGTGATTCACTCTGTATATTAAAAATCAACCTACGGTTATAAATAAAAGTTATCTAATTCTTTAAGTACCATAAACTAAAATTATTTTCAACTATACAAAGTATTTGGTTTATGAGACATAACATACAACTTACTTTTTTAAATGGGACACACTATATATTTTAGCATACTCTGATTGACCTCGTCGCAGGTTTTATAACTATAGTTTATTTTATTATGGCATCTTATTCTATATTTTATTCTCTTTCTTTCGATATGTCGGAATATCTCTTAAAAAAGCGAAAAATTACAAAAACTATTAATTTTTGATAAGTTCAAAAAAATAGAAAATGGAAAACGGATATACTGTATGTTTGTAAATTGTAATATTTTTGAATTTTTCATAAGCACTTGGTATATTAAGACTCAGTTTAATTTAGACTTTATCTTGTTTATCTTTCCACAAAATATTGGAACAGAGATTTTAAAAATAACCTTATTGCGATTTTTTTGTGAATTTTCAAAAATTTCCAGAAAATTAAAATAAATGCATCGGAATTTCAAAAATAAACTATGGTCTCAAAACCCAAGAAAAATCCAATGAGAAAATATTAAAATATATAGGGGTTCTATTTAAAAAATAAAAACAAAGAGGCGTATTATGCATAAAAACAAAACACTCTGCATAGTTGAAAATAACTTTAATGTATGATACTCCAACATATCGAACGCGTAGTTAGTGATTAACTCTGTACATTAAAAATGTACCCACGGTTATAGATAAAAGTTATCTGATTCTTTGAGTACCATAAACTAAAATTATTTTCAACTATACAAAGTATTTCGTTTATGAGACGTAACATACAACTTACTTTTTTAAATGGGACACACTATATATTTTAGCATACTATGATTGGCCTCGTCGTAAGCTTTATAACCATGGTTTATTTTATTACGGCATCTTGTTCTATATTTAGTTCTCTTTCTTTCGATAAGTCGGAATATCTCTTAAAAATTTTGATAAGTAAACAAAAAAAAAAACAATAAAAAAGGATATATTGTATGTTTAAAAATTGTAATATTTTTGAATTTCTTATAAGCACTCGGTATATTAAGACTCAGTTTAATTTACACTTATCTTGCTTATCTCTCCACAAAATATTGTAACAGAGACTTTAAAAATAACCTTATTGCATTTTCAAAAATTTTCAAAAAATTGGAATAAACGCATCGGAATTTCAAAAGTAAATTATGATTGCAAAGCTAAGGTTTTACTTAAGTAAGCATGCATTAGTACCTAGTTATTTTAGAGATATTTTTCCAACTACTTAAAGTATTTCTACTAACTTCAAAAAAGTGTGCGTAATTTGAATTATATCTCAAAATTGTCACGATCATACAAATTTTGTTATTTAAAAATTGGCCAATACAAATTCCTCTCGTACAATTATAGAGCAATAATATCTATAGTTGAATCTACTAACATTGTTGCCAACGACCGTCTTAAACAGTGACCAATATAACAAACTGAACGTTAAAAAAAATATGTAACCTTAATCAGATCTAGGGGGCGAATCGGAAAGGTAAATAAAAATGCAGTCATACGATGTCCAACAATGAGTTAGCTGAATTTTCGTAGCTTAGGAAACTTTATTTAAAATACTATTTAGAGTCATGGATCTAAGTGTGCTAAACAACGTCTTATTTATGCGTGTAGAAGAAGTTAATTAAATGCTGTCATAATCACTGCAACCAGTGACTTTTAGTGGTTATTTTATCATTTATTGGTTGTCTGATGAAGCTTAAAATGAAGGTTATAAAAATTTTCAACCAAAATTATTGAAAAAAAAAACGTTTAACTCCGAAAAGGTGAAGGAGTTATTAGAGAAGAGGCCGCTCAAGGATGGATCCTTGCACCTCCCTATTTGTTGTATATGTCAGTGACCTACCTACCTTTTGGTTTAAAAACCGAAAACTTGGCTACTAGTGGCATGGTTTATCCTTGTCACAAATTATCCGGGCTCTTACGACACCTAAAACTTTTGTTCCTTTCGATGTTCTCATTTCGTACGGAATTTTACTGCGGAATTTTTCGATGTTAAATGGAATAATTCGGAGTTGTTGCTGGTGTAGAATGCATTAATAGGAGTACTAACACCAAAGTGAGGTTATTTTTTTATTTTATCATTAATAAAACAACGAAAATATGGGAAAGTAAACAAAAGTGATGAGCTTTTAACACTTTATTTGTGGTTTTACGATCATCTGACCCAAGGCTTATTTTGGTCTGGGTGACGCATTGCAATTATTATATTCTCATTTTTTGCAGACAGACAGTAATTTCAATATATTTACAAGTTTGCAAAACAGCACTTTAAAATTTAATTAATGGATTCACCTTTAACACAATGTTCGAAGTTTCACTTCAAGTATAATTGCTTTATTTTTCGGAATTTTGGACATCTAATACTACATTCATTCAACTGGTTGTGTTGCAAGTCTTATTTTTTTTTCTTACGACCAATAAAATTCCTTATATTGGCAATTGTCAAGATACCATCGGGTGTTCGATTGAAAAAGTCACCAGGCAGGCTGGTAAACATTGTAAAGCGTGTCTGCAATAAACCTAAAATTTAACGATGACAACTGGAACGGAATGATGCAACCCAACCTCACTTTTTCGTATCATCTGGGACAAATTTATTTTATTTTCACGCATTTTGGATTTTAAATGTTTTCTTTTGAATCCTTTTTTGATTACACTAACGAATAACATTTATTTTCTTTTTCAGATCCAGCACTGTTTAATCTTCATAAGCGTTTTCCCTTCTGTGGTGAACATGAATTGCTCGTATCCAAAAGGGTGGATGGCGGCGTTTTCTGTTAATGTTATTGTGATCATTTACCTCTTTGGCAAATTTTACAAAGAGACATATTTGACAAAAGCAAAACAAAAATAATTACTTTTTGTTAATAAAATTAATTATCTTTTTTTATTCACATTAAGTGTACTAATAACCTAATTTATTTTCTCTCCTTAATATAATCACTCATAAAACACGAACATGTTAATGTTCGAACTACTGTGTCGATTACTTAGAAATATAAATCAATAAATTCGCTTCAGATCTACAATGTAGCGTGCTTCTGTGCTCCTTTACCTGTAATTTCACAGTCCATGTTTATTTTTGACTTGAAATATTTTATTGACAGCTCCCAGTAGGAACACAACATAGCCTCTCTCTGGATTAACAAATTACCTACTAAAATTTGTTATTCCATTAAAGCACTATTATTAAAAAAAAAATCATAAACTATATTAAAATGGGATAATCTTATGATGGCCATATTATAACCTTATAGCTCTTGGACTACTATACAACGATTACTTTTGGCTGTTACCTTATAAAGTCCGGTGTCTTAGCGGAAGAAATGTGGGAATTCATGTATAAAATTAAACAATGCACCTAGTAATTAACAAAGCCATTACCATTGCAATAAGATCATTTAAATATATTCAATGTTACACTGAGAAGTGATAATACCTAAAGAGCTGATTTGAATAAACAGAACTTTGTTAAACTATGAGCATGTGCAGGATGACTCACTGAACGCGTCCTTCCCCATATCGCATTAAGTATATTAGAAATTATAATAGAAAACTGATTTAAAAACTGAAGTTATAGGGTTATTTTTTAACACAATATTTTGAACAAAAATTTGCCATGCTTATGGTAACTTTAAAACATGTACAAAATTTCAACGCGTTCGGTTTTGCAGATTCAAAATTATATTGCAAAATGTTGTTTCCTAATTTTGATTTTTTTCCAACAATTTGGACGTTTCAGGTAAAAACTCAACACGGTGTCATAAACTACATGTATAGGACTATGTTATTTTATACAATTTAAAATCCATTTACTATGTACAATGTTGAAGTGACGTCATCACATTATTAGTGGGGATGATTAGACAAACTTTGGTTAGCGGTTTACCATTTACATAATTTCCTAATATAAATACGAAATTTGACAACAATCGGCCCAGTACTTTCGGAGATTATCTGAATAAAATTCCGTGACGGCAAACACACAGACAGACGGACAGACACTTACGTCTGGGAAGTAAAAATTATAAACTATACAACGATTACTTTTAGCTTTACAATAGGTAGTTACCTCATAAAGTATGGTGTCTTAGCGAAAAAATGTGGGAATTCGTGTATAAAATTAAACAGTATACCTAGTAATTAACAGAACCATTATCACTGGAGTAGGATCATTTAATCATATTTCGTGTTACACTGAAAACTGATAATATCTAAAGATCTGATTTACATAAATAAAACTTTGTTAAAATATGGGCATATACAGGGTGACTCACTAAAAGAAATCGAATTTAAAAACTAAACATAAAGAATTAGAATTAGAACAACAACTAATACAAGTAGCGGCACAGGAAAAGAGTAGGGGAAGAGAAGTCAAAACTAGGTGAAAAGAAAATAGATTAAAAGTAAACGACAAAATAATCCAAATGAACCAAAAACTAAGGAGCTATAATAAGGCAAATAGAAATAGGACGAACCAGATAAAAAATAATAATGTAGGAACTTAGAATATAGGAAGTACTTATAAAATGAAAAAAGTAGAATTGGTAGGTAGAGGAAATGGTAAAACATTAATAAGTGGAGATACTAGAATAAGGAGTGTTCATTTTATTAAACGGACACCTTTAAAGTAACGCCACTTTTCTAATTTTTAATCTAAATTATTCTAGTTTTTATATATGAAAGCTTTAAGTTGTATCTATTAAATGCCATTTTTGTTTTCAAAATAACGTTATTTCTTTTTAAAATGAAGCGAATCGCCATTGGGGCAAGAAAATTATCTTTGCAAAAGTGATGCTACGAAAAATTTCCGTTGGGGGGACTCCCTAAAATAACTAAATGTTCAAAATCAGCTGTGTTCCAAATAATCAAAAAGTTTGGGGAGTTTAATACTTTAGAAGATTTGCTCAAATCCAGACCGAGAAAAGGCCCGCTTAACGAACATATTGAGGAAAACATCATTAAACTGCTAAAATTAACGAAATGTATGTCTGTGTGGGAAATACCGAAGAAGCAGGGTGTTACCGTAGGTACTGTACAAAATATAAAGACTCGGAATAACATTAGAACGTATTAAAGCAAAAAATCCCAAAAAGAAGCGAAAAGCAGCGCACAAAGTTTAAAAAAAAATCAGGAAGTTATAAACAATTTTGGTCAGGAACAAAAATCGTTGTGTTTTGATGGACAACGAAACGAAGGTTAAAATGGACTGCAATACACTACCCGGCTCCCAGTTTTATAATGCAGTCGTAGGGGAAGATGTCCTCGATGACATGAAAACAAAAAAAATTGAAAAGTTTGGGAAAAAAGTCTTAGTGTGGAAACCGATTTGTTCTTGTGGGCTAAAAAGTTTTAGTTTTTTTTTACGATTGGAATAATTCGGGGCGATGATTACAGGAAAGAATGTATAAAAACGCGATTATCGCCTGTTTATTGCAAACATCATAACCCTCCATTGTTTTGGCCAAATTTGGCTTCGGTTCACTACGCTGGTGCCACACAGGAGCTTCTTAATGCCAATAAAGTACAGTTTTTAAAAAAGGAAGATAAACCACCCAACTGTCCTGAGCTTCGTCCACTTGAGCGATAATGGGCAAATATGAAATCAGTGTTAAGAAAAGATGGCCGAACAACATCATGAGTTGAAGAATTTAAAAAAATGTGGCCTCCTGCTATGAAGAAAATCACAAACAAACCTGTGCAAACAGTGGTTCGCGGTATTCGCGCAATAGTTAGAAAATTTTATAGTTTCTGAATATAATTGATTAGAGAATAAGAATAATTATTTCATTTAACATTGTTAAACATTTTTATAACAAAAAAAATTGAATTAGCCCAAAGTACTCGAATTAGTAGCAATTTTTCAGTGTCCGCTTTATAAAATGAACATTCCTTATTATCTACAAATTTTCTCCCAAATTCACGATTACAAAGTTAATCCGACTCATTTTTGACCTTTTTCAGAACTTACCTAAATAATTTTTTTGTAGATTTCCAGCTCCAAAAGTCACTTCTGGACTTGTTTCTTCGATAAGTAGAAACGTTTTTCCAGAATGCCACATTGATATTTGGCAATTTTTAGAATTTTTAAAAATTAGATTTTCAAACCGAATTATCTATTTCGAAAATATTGCTCAGAAACCATAAATACGTGATAATTTGGGAATCAGCGCGTCGAAATTTACATATATCCCAGAATTTTTTGAGGATTTTTAGACTTTTTCAAATGTGAAATTTCCCTTATGCAAATTTCGACCCATTTTCGACGATTTTCGAAATTTAACTAAATACATTTTCTTGAAGATTTCCGGCCGCAGAAGTCACTTTTGGCCTCATTTCTTCGATAACTCCGTCCGTTTTTCCAGAATCCTAATTGAAGTATCGCAACTTTTATAATTTTCAAAAAATTCGAATTTCACACCAAATATTCCGAAAATATTGCGCTGTTTAGACACAGTGTTGTGTTTTTAATTCAGGAGACGCTTGGGTACCCATGGTGTATTATTTTGTGTGCCCATAGAGGTTTTTTTGTCTGTAAATTATTTAAAACAATTTTGAGGGAGTTTGGTGTTCTATTTTTGGGAAATTCTGACCTGAGTTAATTTTGGGCTCGGTTTTTTTTTTGAAAAATATAAAACAATCTTGATGTTCTAGGTTTTCATGCTTGGAAAAAATTTGAAAAAGTGCTTTGGAACCTCTACCTCTAGTGACTTTTCTGATAATAATTTAATGACATTTCTTAGAGAATGCAAATTTCGACCCATTTTCGACGATTTTCGAAATTTAACTAAATACATTTTCTTGAAGATTTCCGGCCGCAGAAGTCACTTCTGGCCTCATTTCTTCGATAACTCCGTCCGTTTTTCCAGAATCCTAATTGAAATATCGCAACTTTTATAATTTTCAAAAAATTCGAATTTCACACCAAATATTCTGAAAATATTGCGCTGTTTAGACACAGTGTTGTGTTTTTAATTCAGGAGACGCTTGGGTACCCATGGTGTATTATTTTGTGTGCCCATAGAGGTTTTTTTGTCTGTAAATTATTTAAAACAATTTTGAGGGAGTTTGGTGTTCTATTTTTGGGAAATTCTGACCTGAGTTAATTTTGGGCTCGGTTTTTTTTTTGAAAAATATAAAACAATCTTGATGTTCTAGGTTTTCATGCTTGGAAAAAATTTGAAAAAGTGCTTTGGAACCTCTACCTCTAGTGACTTTTCTGATAATAATTTAATGACATTTCTTAGAGAATGCAAATTTCGACCCATTTTCGACGATTTTCGAAATTTAACTAAATACATTTTCTTGAAGATTTCCGGCCGCAGAAGTCACTTCTGGCCTCATTTCTTCGATAACTCCGTCCGTTTTTCCAGAATCCTAATTGAAATATCGCAACTTTTATAATTTTCAAAAAATTCGAATTTCACACCAAATATTCCGAAAATATTGCGCTGTTTAGACACAGTGTTGTGTTTTTAATTCAGGAGACGCTTGGGTACCCATGGTGTATTATTTTGTGTGCCCATAGAGGTTTTTTTGTCTGTAAATTATTTAAAACAATTTTGAGGGAGTTTGGTGTTCTATTTTTGGGAAATTCTGACCTGAGTTAATTTTGGGCTCGGTTTTTTTTTTTTAAATATAAAACAATCTTGATGTTCTAGGTTTTCATGCTTGGAAAAAATTTGAAAAAGTGCTTTGGAACCTCTACCTCTAGTGACTTTTCTGATAATAATTTAATTACATTTCTTAGAGAATACGTCATTTTTAAAATCAGTCTTACCTTAATAGGTACTAGTCCCAGCCGCCCGTCCTATATTATCTTAGAGAATATGTCATTTGCCAAAATCAGTTTTAAGTAACAGGTACTGACCCCGCCCACCCATCTTTTAATATCTTTGCGAGTATGCCATTTGGCAAGTACTAGCCCCGCCCACCTGTGCTTTATTTTTTATTAGGTTATGTCATTTGGCAAAATCAGTCTTATTTTAGCAAGTACTGTCCCCGTCCAACCGCCCTTTGTTGTCTTACGGGCCAATTTCAAGTTGGTTTGCAATTAATTGCAAGCTGCGTTGCTATGGTAACCTCGCAAAAATATAATGGTTTGTATTAAGAGTTCTACGAGATCACCATAGCAACGGCGCTTGCAGTTAATTGCAAACCAACTTGAAATTGGCCCGTTAGAGAGTACGCCATTTGGCAAAATCAACACCCTCTAAAAAAAATAAAAGGCGGGTGGGTGGGGCTAGTACTAGCCAAAATAAGACTGATTTTAGCAAATGACCTACGCAAGAAAATGAAGGGTAGAGGGTATATCATTTGGCAAAATCAATCTTATCTTGGCAAGTATTGGCCCCACCCACCCACCCTTTATTTTCTTAGAGAGTAGGTCATTTGCCAAAATCAGTCTTTTTTTGGCAAGTACTAGCCCCACCCGCCCGCCCTTTATTTTCTTAAAGGGTATGTTATTTGCCAATATCAGCCTTATCTTGACAAGAACTAACCCCGCCCACCCGCCCTTTATTTTTTTATAGGGCTAGTACCTGCTAAGATGAGACTGATTTTGGCTAATGAGATCCCTCTAAAAAAATAGAGGGCGTGTGGGCAGGGCTAGTACCTGCTAAGATAAGACTGATATTGGCAAATGACCTACTCTCTAAGAAAATGAAGGAACAAGTGGACGGAGCTGGTACTTACTAAGATAAGACTGATTTTGCCAAATAACATACCCTCTAAGAAAATGAAGGGTAGATGATATATCATTTGGCAAAATCAGTCTTATCTTGCCAAGTACCCCACAGGTACTCTATGCATGAATTTTGTGCAGGCGAACATGGCGGTACTCATTTTGACGCCCCATATCACTTTAATAAAGAAGGATGGAAGGTGCCTGACGTCCCAATTACTAGACTCGTCGCAAAAAGTTGATACTATCTTTTATTAGTGAGTTATTGGTGTGTCATTTTTTACTTAGGTGCCACAATTGACTTAAGGCGCACTGAAACTAAGTCACTTGCGTCAAAGCATTTGGAAAACTGGAAGCGCCAAAAAGGCGTATTTCACACTAACACTTTTCTGATAATAAAATTCGGTTGGTCGAAGTACTGGAACAACAGAAACCAGTACATTGGTATAGATGTTAACGGAAACATAGATTTTCCTGGTAAGAATGGCATGTGATGGGGTTATTTACACTATTAAAAATGTGAAGGTGTTTCCACCGCAGGCCGCAACCTGGATTGTCAATTCTGGGAACATTGTGGGAGTTGGTCTGGATGCTGCCAGTGTGGATCCTGAAGATAGTTCAGAATTCATGACAGATCGCATTTTGAGTAAAAATTAGATTTATAAAGTGGCAAATTCGAAGCTTTTGGAGGATTTGCCAGAAAAGGGATTCAGTATGTTGTTGTTTTATCCATGAAACTGAAGGATGGTACCGGAACCCCTGAAAGAGGTCTAGCGGTACTCACGAATTATTTATAAGTATTTATCTCGTCGAAATGGTGTTGGTATTCCAAAAATTTCTCTGTTAATAAAGGCATAGAAGAGTTAGTTCTTAGGAAGAGAAGGAGAAGAAACGATGAACAACAACGGAGAAAGAATTATTCAAATTTGTATGGAAAATTATTTAGTAACAAACAATACTAAATTCAAACACAAAGCGTAAACAAGTACACGACAGAAGTAATTATAGTGAAAATGAAAAATCGAAAATAGATTATTATTTTCCAATCAGAAAAGAAAATGTGAACGGTAAAAAGTATAAGAGTCACAAGAGGAGCGGAAATAGGAAGAAAAATAGATATGATGAAGACAAAGAAAAAAAAATAGAAAAAAGACGACACGGAATGCAATAAAGAAACAAAATATCGAGAAGATTACCAAGAGACACTAAATGCAAAATTAAAGAAAGCAGAAAGACTTGGAATAGAAGAAAGATGGACGGATACAGACGCCAGACAGCCAGGTAGGCGGAAAAGGGAGACTACTCTAGGGGTCATGAAACGTCAAGAAAACATAAAGGTGGCCATTCGTCAATGGACTCGATTGCTATATATACTTCCTTATCTTACGTTCAGATAGTAAAAATAAACCAAAGAAAACAGATAGTTGGAAAAAATATTCAAATACGAAAGACCAGAGATGCTTTGTGAGGTATACAAACAATAAAACGCAAAAAATGACGAAAACAATAAAGAAAGAAAAACAAGGATTATGGATAAAATTCGGAGACAAGATGACCCAAAACTAGAAATAAAACCAAAAACCAAGAACAAGAAAGGGAGACAAGACAACAGTGGAAACATGGCATCATAATTTCAAAAATAACTGTGGTTATAAAACCTATACAGTTTGTTCTATTTAAGAAAACTAAGTTGTGCCCTTAAAAACAAAACACTCTGTATAGTCGAAAATAATTTTAATGATTCTTTTGAGAGGATAAAATTTAAACAAGATTAGTCAAACAAACCTAAATCTATTATTTATTATTAAAATAACCTTAAAAACTTTTAAAACTAAAAAAAAAATCACATTAAAATTAGCATGTACTAAAAAAAATCTCAAAATTAAAACACAATTTTGTCTTTCATTAAAAACATTTTAACTTACGTTAAATTCTGAAACGAATAAAATAAGTAATATAAAATCATTTAGTGTGTACCACTGGGAGCAGATGAGGCGCAAGGGCACTTTAAAAGAGTACCATGGTAGTACTCATGTGGACACACAAACCCATTTGCTTGTTGGAGACTGGAGTTATTTACAAAATAATCTCTCTGAATGGAATAATTATCAACGTATTCCAACAACTCCAGAAACGGCACCGCAACACTACTTTCTATTAATTCTAGAAGGTACTTGTTCCATTTTTCCTCTAGCTTCTGTTCCTTAGTTATCTTTTTCTTCTCTTTATATCTACGTTTCTGGAACCAATGCGTTACTTGATTCTCGGTAAGTCCTGTTGCTTGCGATAAGTCGTCACGTTGTTTCGACTTGATGTACTTCTTCGTACGGAAAGCCGCTTCTAGAATATCCAGCTGATCTTTACTGAAATTAGATCGGGGGCTTTTGTGCGTTGGTTTTGTTTTTTCTTTCTTTTCTATCGTGAAACAATGATTAAAACTGTGTATCGGATAATCAGTAACAGTAACTTACTTTTGGAATTTTGATCTGGTGGTTCTTCCTTTACATCTTCCTTAAAAATATGAGGTTAGAATCCATTATTTAGAAAATATAATACGTTAATTATGTACCTGTTTTAGATTTCTTGTTCTGCGTAGATATTCCTTTGATTCTGACATGATAAATTGATTTGTCTGGATACTGTAGTGTGTCACGATCGAAATCTGTTACAAGAATGTATATTCTGGAAGTACTAACCTGCCACTAGCGTCTAGTTGCCATCCCCTAAATAATAGGGGAGAGTTTCTTAAATAGCACACTTTGGAAGCTCAGATTTAATTACATATCAAGTCATGGCTGTCTAAAAATAACGTAACCAGTGGAAGCCAGAGAAGATTTTTCGACTCTTCACAGTACCTATAATGTAAAAAAGTAGGTCTCCCGTTTCCGTCTGCATGTCGCCTGACTTTTGAAGGTGACTGTAATAGTAATAATTAACGAATTAAATTCTACTTAAATTGTGAAAAACAGTGTCTTTCTATGCTTATAATTATAAGTATTAATCCACCCCTTCTTACTGGGTGACTATTAACAATTCAAGCAAATTTTTGGGTTGGCAATTCTGAATTATTGGCAGCAGTGTTAGTATGTCAGTTCACAGTTGCAAATTTTTAATTTTCCAAATTTTCACCACTTCTACGTCGTCTTTTCCATTTCTTACATACAATTTGATTTTAAATTTGATGATTTCTTAGGTAACCTCCAATAACACTCGATGGCATTAATTTATTGTTGTACTTTAAAACATGTTTTCATTAAGGACAGGTGATACAACCATGGAGATAAACTAATTAGCATCATGATTTTATCCCTGTGAAAATCTAACCGCAATTTAAGTGTTCGGTAAGTAAAACGGAAAAGGTTATCTCCCAAACATTTGTTGTCTGGCTAGTGGTCAAGGTTGGCTTGAAACGCCATATGCCGCCGCCTTTGATAATCTTAATAAGGTCTGCTTTAATTACTGTCAAAATGGTAATAATTCTTTCTTTTTTAAATCCTAAAATGTTACACGAAAAAAAACTCCTCTAGTTGGCCGTGTACCTAAATTATTTTTAAAATAATGATGTTGGTAACACCAATGCCCTGTGCAGTTTGACATTTACGGTCAAATTACTAGCAAATACATTGCAGCTCCAGTAGCAACATCATTATTTAAAAATAAATTGTCTACTAAAATTTTTTTTTTCAATCATGGTACTAAATTTTGAATTTTCCCATTTATTTAGGTATTATTATAACTAAAGGGCTTATATTTTAACCTTTTTTCTTAATATGTGTAGTCTTCTTTTCACAACAAGAAACTTAAAACATGTTTAAAATGCTAAATTTGCATAGGGAAATATCGATTTTGCAATTACGCTCCGCCCCTCGGTCTGACAACGAATGAAAAATTCGTCACAATTGAGATCGAGACGGATGGGTGGGGCTTCACTTTTGATTTTCTTTTTTAAGTAATCCATTTTTTTCTTTGTATAATACGATTACTTAAGAACATATTTCACATGGTAATTTCTCGTAGAAAAATAAGGATTTTACAATTAAGCTCCGCCCCTCGCCTTACGATAAATAAAAAAATCATCAGAATTGAGACAGGGCGGGTGGGCGGGGCTTATATCTTGCCTTTTTTTTCTTAATATATATAGTCATCGTTTCACAACAAGAAACTTAAAACATGGTTAAAATGGTACATTTTTTCAAGGAAATATGGATTTTGTAATTGTGAGACGGAGCTTAATTACAAGATCGGTATTTCCTTATAGAAATTTTCCATTTTAAACATGTTTTAAGTTTCATGTTGTGAAAAGAAGTCTACACATTTTAAAACAAAAACACAAAATGTAAGCCCGCCCACCCGCCCTGTCTCAATTGTGATGATTTTTTTTTTATTCGCCGTGAACCAAGGCGGCTGAGCTTAACTGTAAAATACTTATCTCTTTACAAGAAATTAAAAACATGTTTTTGAGCATCGTGTTGTTTTCAAAGAATACAATGTATATTAAGAAAAAACGACAAAATATAAACCCCACCCACCCACCCCATCTCAATTGTGATGATTCTTTTCATTCTTAGAAACTTAACACGTTTAAAATGGTAAATTTGTTTTAAGGAAGTATAGATTTTGCAATTAGGCTCCGCCCCTAGGTCTGCCAACGAATGAAAACTTCATTACTATTTGAATAAGGGCAGATATGGGTGGGGCTTAATCTTTGGCTTTAATTTTACATGTTTTTACGTTATCGTAGAGAAACAAGTATTTTGCAGTTAAGCTCCGCCCTCTTGGCTCACGACGAATAAAAAAAATCATTACAATTGAGATAGGGCGGGTGGGCGGGGCTACATTTTGCATTTTTTTTTTCTTAATATGTGTAGACTTATTTCAACAACAAGAAACTTAAAACATGTCTAAAAAGGTAAATTTTTGTAGTAATCAACGTAAATCCTCCACTTTTTTTCTACAACCTCTTTAAATACGTCATCAAAGTTACTATCAACGGCAACAGGAGCAGCAACTGCAACGGCAACAGCAAGTTTATAAATCCCACTTTTGTTTTTAGTTGGGCGACATTTTATGCAAGCAGCCGGTAAAATCTAACGAATATAATGTTTACCGTCCATGGCTATCGAGACACAACAATCTAGATTTCAAACTAGGGATTTTGTTCGCAAGGTTGGCACATGGTCTTTCTCTCTCCCATACACTTGCACGCTATCAGACTATCTCTTTTCCGTCATTTCCGCCACACGTAGAGATTTTGTATTTATAACGTTTATCATCCGTTAACAAGTCATTTCGGCGTGCAACGGTAAGTCGCGTCTGGTACAAAATTAAGTTAAAAAATTACAATATTTTTTCAAATATGAATATTGTCTGTAAGTATAGTGTTTAGTTATAGCGGGTTTGATATATTGTTTCACCAAAATTTGGTATTTATCGTAATTGAGGAAATTGTGAAAAGTGAGGTTAGCTTGTGAAAAAGCACATTTATGTCCGTTGAATCTGAGATAAGAGATCAGATTACTTCAAACAGCGTCAACTTGTGTAAAGGTGTGTACGAGCAGATAACGAAATTTGGCTCAGTAACTCTTTAACTTATTATTCATAATCAAACTCCTAAGCATCACAAGATGACCTCATTTGAAGATTCAAAGTTCATAAATGTAATACAACAAATCGATATTCGATATTACAGCGTTCCGTCCTTGTTCACACCACACCGTCACACTATACATCTGATTCTGACGTGAACAGAAGTGAAGAACCATGAAGATCAATCTTGTCAGGTGTCCAGTGTTCACATTCATACCATTTGATATTTACTATAATGGTATGAATGTGAACATTGTGCATATGAGAGATTTACAACTGATGAAGCCCCAGAATAAACAAAAAAAAAATGGAGTGAGGTTAAGTATCGAAACTTTTATCAAAGGTATGAATAACTGATTTTTAGTTATAGTGTGCTTACATATTGAATAAATTCAGTGAAATCAACTCGTTTTTAGAGAAAGAGCTCAAGTTCTTATCTTGCATAAAAAATTGTAACGGTAGTTCTATTGACCGACGCGATGGTAGCTCACAAGTAGTTTTTTTTTTTGTCGTTACGTTGGCACTTCCAAAGTTTGACATTTGTTTACGTACACGTCACTTGTCAACACGTCAACCCCAGTAATCCAAATCTCGGCTTATCACTTATGTGCTTGATTTGTTTTCGCTGTGACGTGTCCTGCCAACGAAGCACCGCACAATGACGAAGGAACAAATGCGCGCCCTGATTCTGGTAGGGGGCTACGGCACGCGCCTCCGCCCCCTCACCCTTAGCCGCCCCAAGCCCCTGGTGGAGTTCGCCAACAAGCCCATTCTCCTGCACCAAATGGAGGCTTTGGTGGAGGCTGGAGTCACCGAGGTGATCCTAGCCGTTTCCTACAGAGCCGAGCAAATGGAGCAGGAACTCAAAGCCGAAGCTGTGAAGTTGGGCATCAGTTTGATTTTCTCGCACGAGACGGAGCCCCTGGGGACCGCGGGCCCGATTGCGCTGGCCAGGGAGCACTTACTGAAGAGCAGCAAGCCGTTCTTTGTGCTGAATTCGGACATTATTTGTGATTTTCCGTTCAAGGAGTTGGCCAAGTTTCATAGGGATCATGGGCAGGAGGGGACGATTGTGGTGACGAAGGTGGAAGAGCCGTCCAAGTATGGGGTGGTAGTGTATGATTCAACCCAGTGTATAGAAAGCTTCGTGGAGAAGCCTCAGGAATTTATTTCGAATAAAATTAATGCAGGTGAGTTGGTTTTGCCCGTGGATGTGATGATGTGTGACGTCAGAATCTAAGAATGTGGGAATACACAACATGTTGATAAGACTTTTTTTTTTTTTTTCAGTTATTTCTTAATTTACTTTGACACTGTATATGTTTTATTATTTTGAAAAGTTTTTTTTTCCAAGTACTTTTTGGTATTTTTTTTAAATTGATATATATTACACTTGTTTGTACATACTTTGGAATATTGCATCATGCTGTAGCTAGCATCTTACTATTTATTATATTTTCATAGCACACACTACATCCCGCCTAAATAACAAAATGAAGTAAATCAAATACAAATAGGAGTAATTAAAAATTAACAAAAGGGTTAAAAGGAGAGTATGAATAGATCAAATCAAATTTACCAACATCCAAAAAGTATGTTGGGGACAGGCGGTAAAAATTCAATTGTTTACAGCTTTTTTACAATGTAGAAAGACTCATGTAAGAAAATGACATTTAACAGTAAAATGTTAGGTTAGAAAACATTTTTCATTTGAGCTCATGAGAGCTTCTTGTCACAGATTGTCAATTTGAAGTTTAAAAATGGAAAGACACTAAAGACATTGAATGAAGAAAATGAAACCAATAACTTTAAATTATTTCACACTAGAATACATCACTGAAACACTACACTGGCAACGTTGCCAGATGTATTTTCGAAGAAGTTGCGGTGTTGGTGGCTTTTAGATTTTGGAAAGACGCAACCAGAAGAAACTAAAAGTTATTTAAACAAAGAACAATTCGAGCCAATGTTGTGGCTGTTTGTTTATCGTTTATTAAAATTTATTTAGTAATTTTTTTTCGTAAGGTTAACATTTTAATTCGGTTTTGAATGTAATGGAATTATTGCTATAACGTAAGTCGTTTCCACGGATTGAAAGAGTCAAAGTTGGCCATGCACGAAAAGCCGTTTGTCTTAGTTAATGTAACATTGCGAATTACTTTTGTCAACGTGACGTTTAATAAAAAAATATTTTAAACTAAGACAAACGGTTTTTCGTGCATGGCCACCTTTGACTAATTTCTTTCTGTCGGTAAAAAGATGTATGAGTGCGTTTAAGTATGTATTCATTAATTTTGGATATTGTCTAAGAGAAGCTAATAATTTGAAAGCAGAATGTGAACTTTTCGAGACACAAATCGTCCTAAACGTAAAAAAAAAAGAAGAGAAGAAGTTAAGAAATTTGCACGAAAATTCGTTTAAAAGAAGTGTGTTTTTCTGTATATAGCTTCAACTTTTTTTCTAAAACAATGTTAAGTAGAATACGCTTTTATTTTATTTTTCTATATATTTGGCAAAGTATCTAAAATTTTTGGGTGTTTTGAGAAGGTTTACTGCGAAAAATGAAATCCAAAATGAATAATATTTTTGTGTAAATTGATGTATTTTATAGACATTTACTTCCCGAGCGTAAGCGAATGTTTTCTCGACGCTTCCACCACTACAGTACGAAAAAAAGCAGTTTCCCGTTTCTGTCTGTCTGTCTGTCTGGTGTCTGTATCCATTTTTATTAGACACGTAATCTCGGAATGTGCTGGACCGATTGTTGTCAAATTTTGTATATAGGTTAGAAATATCGTGTAGATGGTTAAATGCTAACCAAAATTTGGCTAATAATCCTCACCAACAATTTGATGACGTCATCTCAATGAACCGTATTTTAAAATGAGTTGAAGGTTATACAAAAATATATTTCTATACTTGTAATGTACGAATCCGCTTTCAGTTTTTTCGCTAAACATGCACAGCATAATGATGTTTTCCTTTTTTTTTTCTTGCATTGGTATAACGCTGTGACTAATTTTCTTTTGTGCTGTGACTAGAATTATTCATGTTGATGACGTTATCACGAGTTTTTTATTGGTCAAATTAAGAATGAGTTACCCCATTTTTGTCGAAAATATCTTTATAATAATAATGATAAAATAAGAATTATAATGTTCAGAACATGTTGTTCGATTGTATTTTAATTAATAATTTTAGTTCTGTGTTGAGAAGACAAACTCGTTTAGATCAAACTAATTTCTACGTGACATTCTTTCGATGTATAAACATACATAAACACTTGAGCTTCAGTTTGCTATTACGTAGTGCTGAAGGACAAAGGGTGTTATTTATGCCTCTCAAATTGTGTAATTTTTTTAAAGAGCTGAATTTGTCGGATTGTATTATTTTTTATTTATCAAATTAAGTACCTCATTTTCTAGAATACCCACGTTTTTATTTAATTATGATCAAATAAGAATAATAATAATAATAATATTCAAAACACTTTGTTTCACTGTGGCTTTATTAATACTTTTAGTCTTGTGTTTTTTTTTTCTCATTCAAATTAAACAAATTTCTGCGTGACATTATTTCGATGTATAAACATAAACAATCGAAGTTAAGCATGTACACTGATAATAATACACTTTTTCCCGTTGGTTATTTGCTTTGAATAAATGTCATGTTTTTTTATATAAATTATTAGTCCACACTGTTTCGACGTCTCAAAAAGAATAAAACAAAAAAAAAATAAAACCGAGAAAAGCAGTGAACATTTGTGCATAAATAGATGCTAGACAGTTACATTTGTCTCAACAGAGTAATACATAATCATGCAGATGTTTATTCCGACGACAGATTTTCGAAATAATGTGATATTCTTTAATTAATTAATAGTTCCAAATTTTAAGCTTCTATCATTTCAAGCATCTAAAATATTCCAATAGAACAAGTAAACAGGGATTCGTCTCGGTTTTTTTTTTTAATAAACACCAATTAAATTTTATAAAATAATAAATAATTCCTATATTTGTGACTTATGAATCTGCTTTAATTTTTTTACTATAGGAATCCAGATTTTCGTAAAAAAAAATTTCTACCAGTGTAAGACCATTAACGTGTGGTAAATTCATTGACTGCGTCGTAAAAATGTTAAATTACTAATATGAGGGTCGCTGTTTTTTCACAATATTTTTTATTATTTAAATCAAGAAACGAGTCATCTCATTTTTTCGAAAATTTGAGAATACAGTAGCGTTGTACTTACCTATATTTAAGTATAATAAAATGAGAACTCTTATCCAAAATAAAATTTTACTGGCCTCCTCTATTTTGAGGTGACTAAATCATCCAATGCTTAATCGTCGCATTCCTTCGATATATTAATAAAAACAATCGAAGTTAGTCATGTATTGATAACATATTTTTTCCCTTTGGTTATCAGCGTGTATTTTTTACTTCCCGAGCGTAATCGAGTCCATCGGCTGACCCCCGACTCTTACGTTCTGTCGACCTTTCATTACCCCTAGAGGACGAAGAAATAGGTCTCCTTTTCCGTCTGCGTATCTGTCGTCTGTCCGGACTTTTTTTTTGGACGCGTAATCTCCGAAACTACTGAACTGAAATTTGGGTGATCATCCCCATTACCAATTGAATTGGATGATATCATATCCAAAATTTACAATAGTGTTTTTTTTTTCATTTTATAAAATAACATACCCCATTTGTGGTGTATGAATCCGTTTTGAGTTTTCATCCTAGATAACCAGCTTTTTGGGAAAAAATCAAAATAGCATAACAATATTTTGTAATTTAACTATGAAACTGCAAAACCGAATGCTCTGAAATCTTCCAAGCGTTTTAAGGTTATGGGTTATAATTATAGATGTTATAATATATAGGTCATAAATCGATAATCACAAGTTATTCGTTTGTCCCCTTCCAAAATATTATGACTCTATACTTGTGGTTTATCAACCCATTCATAGTTTTTAGAATTACTTATACAAAATGACTCAAATAAATAAATGAGTCAATTTATTTTATTGATTAGATCAGGAATAGCTCACTGAATTTTCCCGAAAATTTGGGAATACAATGCTGTTATCATTAGTATTACACTGCACCTATCCAAATTAACATACTTGTCTTTGCAGAAATGTTGATGATGTCATTATAAAATGTTGTGAAGGGAAAACTCACTTGAAAATTTGCTTTCACATTACACACATATCTTTGTATTAACTTGTAGGGGTTGTGGTACAAAAAAATATTTTTTTTTAATTTTTCGAAAAAGTTGGATATGTTTTATTGTAACGAGTGTTCATTTGGCAGAAACATAATGTTAAATTTGAAAACACAGTTTCTAGTTTACGCTCGGAAAGTAGTCAAGGCGGATTCATCAACTACAAGTAGCGCAGAATATTAAGATATCTATAAAATTTGTGCAATAAAAATTGACAGACGACTTGAGGGGTAATGAAACGTCGGAAAAAGATGAAAGTAGGCGTTCGTCGGATGGACCCTATTACTATAAAAATGCGGAATGGTATGAAATTTTAATTATAGTCATTAAAATTTTATATCGACAGTAATAATTTAAAAGCGATAAATGAGCGATTACAGAATATGCAACTACCGCACAAATAAATAATGAATTATAATTATTGTGTAATAGAATTAATGTTGTTTACCACAATTTTATTATTATAGGGGTCATTTTAAAAACATTTAGTCCCCGCTAACTTCTGCCAACAATTCTGTAGGTTTAAATACCTTAAAATTCCACAATTTATGTTTAAAAAAATTATTATAATAATAGTTATTTAACGAACGAGTTGGTTAATGAAGGCTATCAACAATTAAAAAAAAACAGATAATATTGAAGCAGAAGTCCGCGAAAAACAATGCCAAGTGTATAAACGCAGTTGCTCTAATTTTAAATATGTATGAATTGGTCTAACAATTCCTGCCTTATTAAATTTAACACCATCTTTTCTTCATTTTCTTAATAGTCACGAAATTATCATCCGTTTTTTCGAATTTTAAAAATTAGTCCATTAATGCCCCAGACACTCCAAAACTTAGTGGAATGTTTTTTTTTATTTGATTGATGTACTTGTATTGATAGTACATTTACCGACAGTAAGCGCAACATCTGATAAAAATCTCTAGTTAAACATTAAATATTTGGATTATCGTCATGGATAAATATGTAGTTGCAGGTAAATTAACGAATGAACATGTTCTTCAAAGATGAAGATTTCCCAATTAGGTTAATTAAATATACTTTTTTTAATGGAACCTTTTATCTCCTGTAGTGCTTTCAAATTTGTTTTAGGGCTAACGGCTAAGTTAAATAGCTGGAGGAGGCGGATTCATAAACCACAAGTATAAAAAGAAATGTTACTATACCAAATAACCTACTTTATTATATCTCGCTTGCTCATAAACAACAATGTTCCTTTCCAGGTTTGTACATCCTAAACCCCAGCGTGGTCAACCGAATCCAACTCCGTCCCACTTCCATCGAGAAGGAAATCTTCCCCGTAATGGCCAAAGACCAGCAGCTCTTCGCCTTCGAACTCCAAGGCTTCTGGATGGACGTCGGCCAGCCCAAAGACTTCCTCACCGGCATGTGTCTTTACCTCAAAGACTTGCGCGCCAAGAACTCCGAGAAGCTGTACAAAGGTCCAGGCGTGGTCGGCAACGTGTTGGTGGACCCCACGGCGAAAATCGGCCCCAATTGCCAGATAGGCCCCAACGTCACCATCGGGCCGGGCGTGGTCATCGAAGAGGGCGTGTGCGTGAAACGGTCCACCATCTTGAGGGACGCTGTGATCAAGTCGAATTCGTGGCTTGAAAGTTGCATTGTTGGGTGGCGGTGTTCGGTGGGGAAGTGGGTTCGGATGGAAGGAACGACGGTTCTGGGGGAGGATGTCATAGTGAAGGATGAAACGTATATTAATGGAGGACAGGTTTTGCCCCATAAGAATATTACCGTGTCTGTGCCAGAGCCCCAGATTATTATGTAGGAGACTATTGTCTATTTTTACTTTATTGTCGATTCCATTGTGCATTATTATTGTTTAAGTGATTTTGTTTTTAATAAAAAATTTGAAGAGGTTTTTGTGTGGATCTTTGAAGGTTTGTTTCAAATTGGCGGTAATTTCGCAAGAGGAAGATTCTATCAAAGACAAATCTTTAAAAATCCATGGCTGTGTTTGATCGTGTTTTTATTGATTTCTCTCAAGATAGTTACACCACAACTAGACGTAAATAGTTTTTTAATAACTAAATAAATTGACAATTGAGGGGTGTGGCATAAATCAATGCCCACTGGGATATCTGAATCATTTCTGAGAACTTAGTACAAGTGAAATGTGGCGGTGAACTAAAATTGAAACAAACTTATTTCCATTGAAAATGTGTAATATAATATTTTTGAGTATTCGATTAGGCAAATTTTTAAAAGGAACTCAATTTGGATGATAATGGTGTAATATTGTGTCAATCTTATTTTTTATATTTAGCGAATAAAAACGCAGGTAGCAGGGACTACTGCGCATTTGATCGTTGGCAACGCTGTGTGTAGAGCATTTGGATTTATATTTGCTCCATTTGAACTACTCAGATTTCGATCTTAAAACAGTAATCATTTAATAGTGACTCCACTTTGTGATATATTTTCATTATGGTTAGGGTAAGTTCACGAATTATATGTTTGTTGCAGTTTGGTAGTATTATTCTATAATTTTATCATTCGTTATTTTTATTTTATTAATTTATTAGACTGTGTCGTTGTATTGCGCAATTTTAGTTATTGTTAACATAAAATTTACGTCAATGAAGAAATAATAAAAAAATTGTCTGTACTATTAAAATTACAAAATAATCAAAACAAAACAAATTACATGCATTGGTTGGTTTATTAGTGTCCATAATGTGTGATTCATTTATGACGTCATCAAATAAAACATTCGTTGCATCAAATTTTGATCCAATATACAGGTATTAGGGAATAAAAAACGGTTTACTTTAATTGTTTCATAACAGTTTTTTTGTTTTAATCGTTTTTGTTTAATTATCATTTTTAATTTTTTTTTCTAGAAATAGAAAGTTTGAAATTTTAGTACAGTATAAAAATTATTCAAATAAATTTATTTTTTATAAGTTGCCGTTCCCGTTGACATAGCTTTTAGAGCTGAAAATTGTCATTTATAAACTCCGTTGCCAAGTTACCGTTGATAGTAACTGAAGAAAACTGGAGGATTTAAGTTGATTACTACAAAAATTTACCATTTTAGACATGTTAAGTTTCTCGTTGTCGAAATAAGTCTACACATATTAAGAAAAAAAAGGCAAAATTGCCCCACCCACCCACCCTATCTCAATTGTGATGATTTTTTTTTATTTGTCGTGAGCGAAGAGGGCGGAGCTTAACTGCAAAATTCTTATTTCATGAATTTTTCATTCGTTGTCAGATTGAGGGGTGGGGCTTAATTGCAAGATCCATATTTGTCTACAAGAATTTACCATTTGAAATATGTTTTAAATTTCTTGTTCTGAAAAGACGACTACGTATATTAAGAAAAAACGCAAAATATAAGCCCCGCCCGCCCGCCCGCTCTCAATTGCAATGATTTTTTTTAATCCTCGAGAACCAAAGGAGCGCAATTTAATTGCAAAATCCATATTTCCTTACAAAAATTTACCATTTTAACCGTGTTTTAAGTTTCTAACAATACAAAAAATCATCACAATTGAGATGGGGTGGGTGGGCGGGATATATATTTTGGATTTTTTTCTTAATATACATAGTATTCTTTGAACACACAACATTCAAAAACATATTTTTAATTTCTTGTAAAGAAATAAGTATTTTGCAGTTAAACTCCGCCCGCTTGGTTCACGGTGAACAAAAAAATCATCACAATAGAGACAGGGCGGGTGGGTGGGCTTATATTTTGCCTTTTTGTTTTAATACGTGTAGACTTCTTTTTACAACATGAAACTTAAAACAAGTTGGAAAATTTGTATAAGGAAATATCCATTTTGCAATTAGGCTCCGCCCCATAATTGTAAAATCAATATTTCCTTGCAAAATGTACCATTTCATCCATGTTCTAAGTTCTTGTTGTGAAAAGATGCCTATATATATCAAGAAAAAAGGGCAAAATATAAGCCCCGCCCACCCGCCCTTTCTCAATTCTGCTGATTTCTTTTTTATTCGTTGTAAGCCTAGGGGCGGAGCTTAATTGCAAAATTCTTATTTTTCTACGAGAAATTATCATGTGAAATATGTTCTTGTAATCTCGTTATACAAAGAAAACTAAATGTGTTAATAAAAAAAGAAAACCAAAAGAGAAGCTCCACCCATCCGTCTCGATCTCAGTAATGATGAGTTTTTTATTCGTTGTCACACCAAGGGGCGGGGCGTAATAGCAAAATCGATACTTCCATAGGGCATAGACAAATTTTAAACATGTTTTAAGTTTCTTGTTGTGAAAAGATACACATATTAAGAAGAAAGGGCAAAATGTAAGCCCTTGTGGTATGATATAAACGACGCATACCTTTGCTGCGTATTTATCTTACAACGGCAACGTCAGCGACAAGTTTATAAATCGACCTTTAGTTGTCATCCAAGTACATAGTTCAAATTTAAACCCAAATAGTTGTTAATTTACGGAAAAAAGTTGAGTTTATTGCGTACGTGTGGGTAATACATACATAACATTAAAAGAATTTAAATCCATCTTGCTTCAAAGCACACATACATATAGATTAAAATTAAAATATGTTCACAGAATTGGGATCACGTTCTCTATGAAAACGTCCGCACCGGCAATATGTTGTACATCCAGAAGTCCGTAAACCAAGGCGCTGACATCAACTGCACAACATTCGATGGAAACACGCCTTTAGCAAACGCCACGAAAAGAGGCCGACTGGACATCATGCAGTATCTGCTGAGTCACAAAGCAGACATATTTAAAGCCGGAGCTAAAGGCAAGTCTCCACTGTCCTGGGCGATATACCGTGGCCACATGGAAGCCCTCAAACTATTATTGTCGAGTGGAGTTAACGTAAACACGACAGACCAACAGGGCAACACACCTCTAGTGTACGCTGCTAGAGAAGGCAAAGTCAATATAGCGGAATATCTAGTTTCCAACGGTGCTGACGTCAACAAAGGTACCCTTGGAGGAAGCACACCTCTAGTTGAAGCAGTCATCGCTGGTCATTTGCCCATTGTCAGACTATTGGTGACTAAAGGCGCAAAAGTTGACAAAATGGGTCATGAAGGTAACACACCGGTGGCTCTTGCTGTGAAACACATGCACCCAGAAATTGTGAAATATCTAACGTTTGTGGATGCTGATCTTGGTAAAATTGGTGACGAAGGTAAACCTCCACTGTCGTGGGCTGTGATTAACGATGATTTGGATATGGTGGAGTTTCTTCTGGAAAATGGAGCCGAAAAGACGATTCAGATCGCTTTTCTCCAAGCTATTGATTCAGGGAATTGTGAGATTGTGAAATTTTTGAAAGAAGCAGGTGCCGATGTTAATTTTGAGTATAAGAGTGATGAAAGACCGTTGGATAGGGCTACTGCGGCTGGTCATTTGGATGTTGTTAATTATTTAGTTGAGTGTGGAGCAGCTGCTACACACGAAAGTGATTCGACTGATGATTCTGATGATTCGTTTGTGATGGTAGATGAAGAAGATTGTGGATTGTGATCACCACGTTTCTTCCTACGTTCCAGGGATAACTAGAAGATAGTTGTACTGGATAAAATAAAACAAGACTGTTAAAATAAAGTACAAATAAATGTTATAAACTAAGTATTGTGTTTTCTTTAATTATTTCGTGTACTGTAGTTGGATTCATTCCAACTATTTAGGCAATGTATCTAATACTTGCCTGAGGAGATTCTTCCAGACAGTCAAAAATTTGCTTCTCAATTTCCACCGTTCTTGTGCCTTTTTGTTCGAATGTCTGCGATCTGGATAGGTTTTAAGATACTCACTTGCTGCCCTTCGGAAATTTCCATTATGAAAACTTTTTTAAAGATTACACAATAAGATCGAAAATCGACAAAGCTTCAAATTTTTGTTCTCAAATTCAATGTAAATAATAAAAGTCTGAAGTTTTCAGATTTTCGTCTATAAATTTGAAAACTTCAACTTCTGGCACCACATATTGCACAACATTTTATAAAATTAACGAATGCAAGATAGGTACATAAGTGTGGATTTCAGGCGAGTAAACTTCAATCTGTTCGTGTCGGCAAATCAGTAACAATCATGTAGATGAACAAAGTGTAAAAAACACAATTGTAGTGGCTGTTGGTGGTTTTCGTTTGCCCATTAGAACGAATAAAGACAGGAATAAAGTTGAACAACATGCTTGGAAAACATGTAAGTAAATTACTGACAATTTTTTTGACATAGCTACATTGAATTTTTACTGGTCTTCCATGCTGTCTGAGTGGTGAGTGAATTTGATGTCCTTTAGGTTCCGGACCTGTGAGGGCCTCCTCGGAATGCAAGTCGGTAAATAAGAGGACGATATTTTCGTTCCGTAGCGTACATAGGTGATATTAAAACGTAAATAACCTAGATAACGACATATCAGTTCGTCGAAATTACCTACTATCTCCAAAAACTACGTCATGATTAAACACAAAGATAGATAACGATAGAGGAAAATATACATGAACATATTGAGCTAGGTTAAGGAAACTACCTAGGAAGAAAATTATATTTTTGGTTGTAGTCCATTAATCATGAAAACATCAACAATTTGCATAAAGACCAAGCACAACTCTCTTACTTACTGTCGTTTATTTGTCCACAGAACCGGGACCACTTCCTCTATGAAAACGTACGTACCGGCAGCTTGGCATACGTCCAGATGTCCGTCAGCTGTGGCGCCGACGTCAACTGCACCACGTTCGACGGAAACACCCCTTTAGCAAATGCCACCAAAAGAGGACAACTGGACATCATGCAGTACCTGCTAAGTGAAAAAGCCGACATCTTTAAAACCGGGGCTAAAGGCAAATCTCCAATGTTCTGGGCTATCCACCGTGGACATCTGGAAGCCCTCAAACTCTTGTTGTCAAGTGGAGTCAACGTAAACACGACTGACCAACAAGGCAACACACCTCTAGTGTACGCTGCTAGAGAAGGCAAAGTCAATATCACCGAGTATCTCGTCTCCAACGGAGCGAACGTCAACAAAGGTATTCTTGGAGGAAACACACCTCTAGTTGAAGCAGTCATCGCTGGTCATTTGCCCATTGTCAAACTACTGGTGACTAAAGGCGCCAAAGTTAACAAAACGGGTCCTGATGGTAACACACCGGTGGCTCTTGCTACGAAACACATGTATCCGGAAATTGTGAGATATTTGACGTTTATGGATGCTGATCTTGGTAAAACCGGTGATGAAGGTAAACCTCCACTCTCGTGGGCTGTGATTAACGACGATTTAGATATGGTGGAGTTTCTTCTGGAAAATGGGACCGAAAATACGACTCAGACCGCTTTTCTCGAAGCTATTGATTCAGGCAATTGTGAGATGGTGAAATTTTTGAAAGAAGCAGGTGCCGATGTTAATTTTGAGTATAAGAGTGATGCAAGACCGTTGGATAGGGCAGTAGCGGCTGGTGATTTGGATGTTGTTAATTATTTAGTTGAGTGTGGAGCAGTTGGTACGCATGAAAGTGATTCGACGGATGATTGCGATAATTCGTTTGTGATGGTAGATGAAGAAAATGGTGGATTGTGATTCACTTCGTTTCTTCCTACGTTCCAGGTGTTCACTAGAAAATAGTTTCATTGGATAATGTAAAATAAGGCTGTTAAAATAAAGTGCAAATAAATAGTATAAGCTAAGTTTCGTACATTTTCTTAATAGTACAGGGTGAGTATTATAATAACGGGACCCTGATTTCATATGTAAATAAATAAATAAATAAATAAATAAATAAATAAATAGTTTATTGATCATCCAACGGGCAAATCGCCCACATAGGACATAATAATAACCAATAGTAAACTTAACCCAAAAAACAAAAAATTTTAATATAATGCTAATTTAACGCCAGCAATAAATTCATTTGGAGACACTACAAATATATCACATAGGTGTTGTATGCTATTGTATATTCTGCACATATTGTTAACTGGTGAATAATAATGTTGATTAGTGCGAGCCATATCACACAGGAAAGTTCTCGGATTCCTGGATCCTGAACGAGGAACATAAAAACAAATTTGTTCGAGCAAGACATTGTCATTAATTATATTATGTATGAGTTTATGCAGAAAAATAACAGAGGAAAATTCACGCCTACTTTGGAGATGAATAAGATTGAACTCATTTAACAGCTCATGCTGCGAAAATCCTTGGATAGGGTAAACACCGTATTTTTTGTAGAAAGCATACTTGCAGAATTTCCTCTGCACTTTTTCCAAGACCTGTATATGTGTAATATAAAAAGGATTCCAGATTATTGAACAATATTCTAAAACAGACCTAACATACGCACAATAAAGCATTACAATACAGTCAACATTGGTGAAATCCTTTGTGTTCCGTATTATAAAACTTAGTATTCTCATGGCCTTTTCACTAATATGTGTAATATGTGGTGTGAATGATAAAGACTGATCCATCACAACTCCCAGGTCTTTAAACTCAGTACACCTAATAAGTGACTGATCATTTATCTTGTAATTGAACAAAATAGTGTTAACTTTACGACTATATGACATAATTCTACATTTATTAACATTCACTTCTAATTTATTCTCAACACACCATTTAAAAAACTTATTCACAATACTCTGCAATACAAAGCAATCGTACTCATCACTTATGACCTTTAAAATTTTGACATCGTCAGCAATCATATAGACATCACATTGATTATTTATCACAAAAATTACATCGTTAACAAAAATTGTAAACAACAACGGTCCCATATTTGATCCCTGGCAGACACCTGTGTTACATTCATAACTATAAGATTTACAATTCTGATATTGCACATACTGTTTTTGACCTACAAGTATCGACTTGAATAGTTGGACTACTTCTTCACATAGACCCATAGCAGCAAGTTTGTGGAGTAGTAAAGTAATATGATTCACTTTGTCAAACGCCTTAGACAAATCTGTATACACAACATCAACTTGCTGCTTTAAATCTAAAGAGTTGGATAATTTTTGTGTAAAGTTACATAGATTAGTTGCAGTCGATCTACCTGATATAAAACCATGCTGCTGAGTTGCAATTAATTGTTTTACATGACTGTATACATACTTAACTAAAATGCATTGAAAAATCTTAGCAAAATTTGGTATAATTGCAATGGGTCTATAGTTAATTACATTATCTTTAGCATCAGATTTAAATACTGGAGTAACTTTACCAATCTTCCAACATTCTGGGAACGTGGAGGTGGAAATTATGGCGTTATAAAGATGACAAAGCGGTGTTAATAGAGAGCCTATACAATCTCGGACGAGAAATGCAGGTATTTCATCATCTCCACTGGTTAGATTCGGCTTCAATTTTTTAGCAGCTTGTAGAATATCACAGTCGGTTATATTAAAACGATGTAGAACATTTACGTAACAACACGGAAAAAGATCACAGCATTTATCACAGTTATCGTCGCAGGCTTTATAACAGGATTTATCATCACGGGAAGGTTGAGTGACAACATGGTCGACATCATTTGTAGAATTATTTGATGGAATAAATACACCACTAAAATGCTCAGAAAAAGCATTCACGATGTCACGGGACGTTGACAGGAGACGATCATTATATGTCATTCTTCCTGGTATACGCGTACTCCCTTTTCTTGAAGTAATATAGGACCAGAATGTTTTAGGATCCGATTTAACATTGTCTTCTGTGGACTTAATAAAATTATGAAAATCAGCCTTAATTTGTGACTTGATCTCTTTCTCCAATTTTCGAGCAGCATCCTTTTTCGATAAGAGGTGACATTTCTTATATGATTTCCATAAGCGGTCTTTCTTTTCAATCATTTTAACAGTACTTGGTAAAATCCAACAGGGAAAGTTATGCCGAGCAGAAGTGATTTTAGGAACATTGGTATCACAAAGCACATGCAGCTTTGTATATAATAAAGTACAGATTTCATTTACATCATTAATCTCTAGAATATCAGACCAATCTGTTTTTAACATCGCATCATATAAGCTGTGAAAATCTGCTTTTCTAAAGCTGTAACGAACAGAATCACGTTGTGCTTCAAAAACTACTTCCTGCTTGGTTTCAACAGTCAATTCCACACCTAAAGATGGATGATGCGGATCCTCAGCAACTCCTCCATGTGATCCACATTACATTTTATTTTTTCAGAGGACAATACGAAGTCAAGGATTCTGTTGTTACGATTCTTAACAAAATTATTCTGGCGTAATTCATTATAATTTATGAACTGGTTGAGAGTTTGGCAAACAGATGAAGGATTTTGAGCATATCTAGTGGTTGCGAAATATTCCGGAATATTGAAGTCACCAGCAATCAGAGTCATCCCCGTGATATGGGATTCTTCCAAATATTCGAAGACACTTTCATAGAGTTGCGTCTGACTGATACGAGGAATGTAGAGATTTATGACGATTAAAGGATCAGAGCAGCAGAACAACTTAACTTTGCAGTTAACAGCAGTCAGCACTCCTCTTCCTTTTCTACCATTAGATGAACGGAAAACATTGTAATTATTTCCAAAAATTTCACTTGAGCTGACAGAATCACATAGCCAAGTCTCTGTTAATAGGATTAATAAGTCATAAGACGCCAGTATAGAATTAAGTCCACGAACATTCTGGTAGGCTACAAAAAGTTTAAAACAATCACTATCCCGTTGGATGCAACTTACTTGTTTTTTTCTTGAACAACTTTGACTATTTTAGGCATACCATTGATGTACTTAATTTTGATTTCTGTCTCACCATTATCTAATCGCTGTTTAAATTCTTTGCGAGTCACATAAGCCTGATTTTGTTGATGTCTAGTGAGGTCCTTGTTGCAAAATATACCATCATTGCCTCTTCGTTTAACTAATTTGTTGACAATCATTGGACTGTCAAATACAACTTTTATAAGCCTAGAACGATTATTATTATTATTTTGGCCTAGACGAAATACGGATATGATATGATCGTCAGTAAAAGTAGGGATGACTGATAATATAAAATTCTTAATAGTTAGTTTATCAGAATTTTTTTTCTCCTCTAGGGTGGCACCCTCCGGTTCGGGAATACCACTAATGACAACGTTATTAGAACGACGAATACGCTCCATCGCCTCATCAATAGTTGAATCTTCAATATTTACCAACGGATTACATGATGCTTGTTGCTTTTCCGTCGTTAATTTATCTATTTCATGTCTTAGTTTTTTGTTCTCACTAACCAAATCAGCGATGACTTTTTTCATGTCATTGACACTATCAGATAATGAACTAATCGTTGATAGTAGACTCTTCATTGTGATTGGATCAACTATTTCGGGTGTTTCAGGATTCCTGCTAGCAGGATAACACTTTTTTTTACCAGCACATCCTATGTGGGACCACACATGTAACTCTTTTTACAGTTTATTTTTCTAAAATGTTAGTCCCTGTTGTGCGGTCCGAATATTTATAAATTTTAATCCTACTCTTCGCATTACTATAATTTTCTTCCACTTTACTGCTAAACCCCTTCGCTCGCAATTCATAGTTAATTAATTTCTCATTAGATTTTTCTCTAAGAGATTTGATAAATATTTCTAAAGATGTTATTAGAGCAAGGTCTTCGCACACATCTAATCCAGGTTCTTGTAACTTTTTACTGACTGTTAATCCTTTCAAGAAGTTCTTCCCAGACGACAGTCAATATAGCGATTTCGAGTTTGTATAGCTTACCTAATATTTTTTTCGCTTCCATCTTGCAGTCATTTTTTTCTAAATTATCATTAATAATAGTTTCTAATGCGGTTACAATTAAGCTATAACTTTTTTTAACGCATGAACAGCGTCGTATGGACTATACCATCTAGTTTGACTCAAACCTTTAACTGAAAGTGGCAGTTTTGCATGTTGATTTAACAAATTCCACCGGTGAAGTGAAGCCGAAAAAAACACGTACAGTTGTTATACAACCCCAAAGTATCTGATTACATCCGGTACGACACTTGCAGCTTCGACCCCTACCAAATTTAAAGAATGAGCTGCACATGGTACATAATCCGCGAACTTGTTAATTTCCTTAACACGTGCTTGAAGTCCATTATATTTTCCACTCATATTCGCAGCATTGTCATAAGACTGCCCTCGTATTTTTCATTGAAAGACCATTGTCTTCTAAAAATAAATGTACTATATTAAATAAATTATTTCCTGTGTGACTGTCAATTGGTATAAATGACAAAAATCTTTCAAAAACTTTTCCTTGGGAAGTGTTTCTCAAAATAATTGCCAGTTGGTCCGTACGTGACAAATCTGGAGTAGAATCCATAATAATTGAATAATATTTTGTATCTGCATCGTTTATATCCTCAATAATTTTTTTTCTTACTTGTGTTGCCGTTATGTCGATTATCTCTTCATAAACCGTTTTAGACCAGTAACTTGCAACTAGTTGTTCGGTTTGACATTTCACTATATGTTGCTTCAAAAAAGGATAAAATTCTGCAATAAGTTCCATAATAAGTCCCATAAAATTTCCATTATGTGATGAACCCCATTTTTCATCATGTCCTCTAAATGACAATCCTCTTTCACTTAAAAATTTAATAACTGCCACAACTCGCATCACGTACAATGTAATTGTAGTGCTTGCCGGGGGTAGGCAGCTTAGCCAGTTTA